GAAAGTGTTTTTCTGCCTGTCAAATATTGAATAAGTCACTGACAGAGGACACGAACAAATCAACTACCCAATCGTCTAAGTCACAGTATGCCTTACTGCAGGAAAACTATTACCTATTTAAAAAAAATTGTGAATTGGAGGAGAAAAACTTATTGTTAAAACAAAGAAAAAGTGAAAGACAGAAAAAAAGTGATAAAAAGCAATCAAAGATGGAACAAAAAACTCCCATCACCGAGATCTAAAAGAAATACTGATATTATATATACAGGTTCGAAAAGTACCGACGGTACAAATAAGATCCACTTCTTATTTGAGGAAGGGCGAAATGGGCGGTAACTATTAGACGGCTTCATTATAGCCATCTTTATCGCACGAATTTCTATGACTTACTTTATCGCTCTCACGTAATGGCAGATGGACCATCGGTACTTTCTGACCCTGTATGATATAACGCCAGCCCCAATGCTAGCGTACGGAGGTTGAAGTACAAGCAGATACTGGCAACCCAACTTACAGTCAAATTGCAAAGTAAGATTCCACCCGTGAACTCGGAAATATTCAACATATACTAGGCGGTATCTGTTTTGGTTTGGGTAAATCGTATATCCACGGAGATATTTGGCTTTTTGGCTTTCAAATATAACTAGAAATGAAAATTTTTCTATGCGCATAAAAAAAACTTTGGGTTTACTTTTTGGGGCCCCAAATTTTTAAAAACCTTGGAAATTTTTCTTTTTTTTTTTCTTTTTTATTTTTGGTTTTTTTCAGGGTTTCTTTTTGGGCTTTATTGGAGGGGGAAAAAATTTTTTTTATTTCATTTTTTTCCAAATTTTGCTTGTTTCCAATTGGATTGATTCTTGTTTTTTTTTTTAAAATTGGGAAAAATCTCCAAAAATGGGGTTAAAAAACATTACTTCTTAGGGAATTCTTTTGGGGTCTTTAAATTGGGTATAGGACCTTCATACTTGGCTCAAGAAACCTTCATGTTATGTAGAATCACACTAAATTTCATCAAAATCGGTTCCATAGATTTTGCATAATAATTTTGCAATCCAGATATTGAACAAAAATTTGCAAATTTTCTAAATTTCTCTGCTTCCCCCACCACCACCCGTACGATTTTCTTGAATTTCTCGCTTGCATAAATAACTTTAAACACGTTTTAAAGTAGGCTGCCAAGAAAGAAGTAAAGAAGTACTCGGAATACCAAAGGTATTTTTCAAAAAATTAGCACGGATGTCCCAGTACATTTAGTATAAATGACGGTTAACTTTGATCGGCTATAACTACGTAGGTAATTAATTGACCTATCGATCTGTTTTATTTTTAAAGAAACGTCTTTCCAAGAACTTTTCAAACCTATTTTAAAAAATTTGATTTGGTTGAATATTCACAAGTTATTCTAATTGTTTATAAATACAAAAATTCGACCAATGTTTAACCAAGCGCCAGAGCTCTCCTAATTGACGGATTCGAATTTTTGTGAAATCCTTTGAAAGCTTGAGTGCCCTTCTATATATGATTAAATTTTCAAGTATCTAAGGGCCTTGGTTTTTGCTGTGCAAAATTTTGAAAATCTTAAATTTTTTTTTCAAAATTTGGATTGTAAAATTATTATGCAAAATCTATCAAACCAATTTTGATGAAATTTGGTGTGATGATTCCACATAACATGAAGTTTTCTTGAGCCAAGTTGAAGGTCCTATACCCAATTTAAAGACCTCAAAAAAATTCTCTAAAAAGTAATGTTTTTTAACCCCATGGCCCCCATGGGCCCCCATGGCGATTTTTTCGATTTTTTATAATAATAATCATGATTCATTCGATTTGTAACTAGTCATATTTTGTAAAAAATTTAGTTACAAACATTTTTTTCCTCTGCCATTTTCGCGTAAAATCAACTCTTGAAAAGAAACAAAATTAAATAGGAAGAAAAATATAACATTTTTCAAATTTTTTTAACATATTGTGTCGTCACGTTTTTTTATGCGCATAGAAAAATTTTCATTTCTAGTGATATTTGAGAGCCAAAAAGCAAAAAATCTCAGTGGATATACGATTCACCCAAATATGGACTTTTTGAAACAGATACCGTCTAGATTAACAGGCCCAGGCGTAGGCAGGTTAATATTGGCCAATAATACTTCTGAACGTTTCAACAATTTTGCGGGAAGAAATGACAAGAGTAACAAGAAAGCTTGGTTGTTTGTATCTAGAGTTAGAGGCTACGTGACAGAGGATTTGATTGAGACATATATTAAAAATAAACTCACACTCACTGATGAAGATATTACCGTCAAGAAATTTCCTACAAAATATGATGGCACTCGCAAAGACTGCAAGTGTTTTCAGGTTGGGGCTAAATTTGAATTCAAGGACAATGCATACGATAATGATTTTTGGCCAGCAGGAGCAAGCGTTCAGACGCTTCAAATTCAATTTCTAAGAAAATGAATCCAATAATTTTCCAGTAAAGGAAATCCGGAGAGAAACATAAATTTAGGAAAATATCCTACAAATGACATAATTCGTCTCTTGTACTTAGATATACAAAGTGTTAGGAACAACACACTAGGAGCTGGATACGTTGATAGTTGATGGTTACAGAGTGTTTTGTGTAGATTTTGTAGATTGAATCTTCTCCAAGGTGGGGTATGTCTTCTGACTAAAAGCAATGTTGAATGTTCCCGATTTTTTTTAATGATAAGTACATGTTTGAGATACATATACAGGTCTCCTAAGGGTGACTTTAATCTATACTTAGAAAATTTGCTATTAAGTAGACTCAATCTTAATAAAATTGTTATAGTGACAGGCGATTTCAATGTTTATATACATTGCTGAAAAACATAGTTGTTCTCATCAATACATCTTTCGGTTTGAAACAAGTTATGTTTTAGAACACAAGAAAAAATTCCTGTAGAGATAATATTTTTTACCAACATTAACATTAATTTAATGGCAGCCGTAATAGACACAAAATGATCGGATCATGTTGGATCCATTTTAATTTTTCTCGCTTCAGTATCAGTAACAAATAATAAATTACAGACCTATTACAAATCAAGACTTAATATATTATATGTATAATAAAGTTGAGGAAACCAATTGGAGTTTTGTTAGTGATACATCAATACATGTACAAAGGTTGCACTTTTTTAAGGTGTTACTGGATCCAATTGAGATCTGTTTAACAATGAAAATTAAAAAGCAACGTAATTTTAAATCTACTGATACTGTCTGCTTTACCCAAGAGCTTGTTATTATTAGAGAAAAATTAAATTTCTTAGGAGAAGTGCATTGTCAGCATGCAACTCACATCCAGAGAAACCTTCAATTCCTATCGTAATAAGTCGTCTTGAAATTATCTAATGCCAAAAAAAACGCCAGTGACAACTATATAAATACATCTACTAATACACAAGCAGCAATATGGAACCTTATAAAAAATAAAAATGACCGCAGTTCACATGTAAAAGATTCATCAAACGCTAATGACTTTAATACTTATTTTTCCAATGTTGCAGAGCGTCTTTTGGGTGAGCTCCCGCTTCTCAACAAGTTACCTTCCGAGTTTTTGACTGCCCCAAGATCACAAACGACTTTTAAATTTAGAGAGTTGTCTTTTAATGTCTATTATATTCTATTCTTACAATGAGGTCAGTGTACGTATATACTAGAATACCTCATTTATATTAAAAATAAAAATAATCAGAATAGATTTGTTCGACGAGAAAATTTTCATTCCCACCATACAAGAGAGAGACACAATATTAGACCATTAGATTAGCGAAATCCAGAGATGGCATAAATTATTTTGGCATTAAATTCTTTAATAGACTTCCATCTCTGATTCATTCAATAAATTCAGACTGTTTTAAGGCCAAAATTAGAAAATATCTTAGAAAAAAATCGTTTTACAATTTTGATGAGTTCTTTGCTGCCCAGTTTTTAGATATATAATGAATGTTCGTAAAACTTACTTTTTTCTGCTGTTTACGTTATATTTATCTGAATGTGTTAGGAAGGTTGTGAATGATTTGATTTGATTGATCGATTAAGACATTGTTTAAATGTCTGCAGGACGTAGGTATTTGTGCTATTTGGCTTATTTAAGACTAAAAATAGAATTTTAAATAGAAAACATAATTTTATAGTGGATGAGAGAAATGAGATTTTATTTGAACCATCTTCCGAATACTGTACAAAATTACAGAATGGGTCAAGTATTTATTTAAACACATTATATTATAGTATTATTTTATTTTGTAGTACTAATATCAGATTTATTAGCGAAAGCTGACGTAATTTTTATTATAGTTTTTTAAAAATATGTTTTCTACAGGTTGTAAGAGTTGAAAAAAAGAAAAAAATTTTTAATGCAATTCCAAAAAGGGAAATATAAGTTTTTGATCATTTACTCAAAAAGCACTAACGGCAACGGAGCTTGGAATGAGTTTTGCACAAAATATTATGCTTATTTAAATAATCAGTAATCAAACAGATAGTTTCAGCATTCATATTATAATATACAGTTGTTGAGAAATTAGAAGTAAATCTGAATTATCTGAGATTTATTTACTGCTGACAAGCGCCTAATATGATCAGATTTTTTAAATTTGTGAACTGTTCATTCTACAAAAAAAAACTCTTAGCTTAGATTAATTCAGACTATTAGGAAATTGCTCTTAAAGATTTAAAGTATATCTTTAGTTCTTCATAAATGATCAAAATCTGTGATTCACTTCAATATTTACAGAACCATAGAGCCCTTAAGAGAATTTGTCACATCGTAACTATTACATGCTATATAATGGGAAAACAAAATTGTATAAATTAAATTCTAACTTTATAAAGAATATACAGTAAATCACTTTTCACATCTTTTTGAGTCAAATTTTTTTGAATCTACGAATGAACGTATACATTTTATTTTTAGCGTTCTGCACTAATAAATTTAGAAAGTTTAAGAAGTTGTTTTTATTATTTTTTGGCACATAAAAAATTTAAGTATTGTACAGTAAATATAAATAACAGTCATTTTAATATGAAAATTTATTTTATATTTTCTACCGCTTTTGATCTTCCTGTGACTGAGGAAGAGTAGCTAAAAATTCTAAAGCACGCAGAATTGCTGCTGGAATTGGTGGTGGAGTTGGTAAATGAGCTCCTTGTGGTTGAAATCCATTTTCATCAGCGATATAGGATAATTCGATAGCTTGCCCTTCTGGTGATGTGTAACTAAAACGACCTTGAGCAACTTGAGCTTCTACTTCAGGTTGTCCTGCATTTTTCAGAAACCCTTGTTCTTCGGCGGAAATTCCATTTCCCGTTTCATAGCTGAAACAACAAATTATTTATTATGAATATTTTTATAACAAAAATGCATCACATTACGCTTCCAAAACAACTGTACAAAATCCTTCACATGAAATCTATTAGGTGTGTTTTTGTAGATAATTTATCAGTAAGTACACTCCAATAATAAAGTGTATCTATAGATGTTTGATGTAAAATAATGAAACTTAGAATGGCGACTTAATTGAATAAAGGTAAAAATTCACCGAATTTGTATTGTATAATCATATAAACCAATGGCGGAGAAAATACCGTTTTTAAGATCCCTAAAATTTCAACATCAATTTTGAAAATTCGATATGTTGACTTGATTTGCATCTATATTTCAATGAAAAATTATCTCTCTCGTTTTATTCGTAAAACGGATCATTTGCGAGTTATCATTTTTTTAACCTAAAATAACCTAGCAGTTGAATATATCGAAAATAATTCTAAAACCATTCATTTCGCCCAAAAGAATTATAGGAATTTTTTCCTGCAAATGCAATTTTGAACGTGATCATTTAAAATTAAAAAAAGTTAGTGGCGAGAAATTTGTTCCTTACAGTCCCCCTTATAAACTTTTACATTTTTATCAAATGATTTTTTTTTAATTTCAAAAAATTACTGTATTTGCGGCAAAAATAAAGAACAATGTTAGTTATTTTCAAGGTTTTGAATTGTGTGGCAAACGTATTTTATATTTAAAAAATAATAAAATAATGTCACGAAAATAAAATGAATACTTTAAAATACAACTGCGAATCAAACGAAGTTAGTAATACTCAGTAGCACCTAAATTATGGGGTTCTTAGTCGATATCACCACTGTTTGACATATTTGCAATACACTAATCCGCGTTAAATATGTTCAGACATATTAGTATTTTTTTTATATCGAAAGAAGTTCATGAGAACTTTTTCCCCAAAATTGAACAAGGATTCCACCATTTAATTTTTTCCAACTAGGTATTACTGGGACACCATCTATACTTAGTACCTCTTTAATGTCAGATCTCTAGGTGTGCTAAAGAAATAACTCTATACAGGCTGTTACAAATTCGCTTCCCACTACAGGGATCTCGGAAACGGTAAGAGGTACGAAGTAGCTTAAATGGGGGTAAAGTTGCGTAATCAGGGGACTAACATTATGCCTTTAAAAAATCAAGGCTAACATGATTAGTTTTCGAAATATTTGAAAAAAAAACCGAAATTTTGGAAATCTGTTTTTGTTTAATTTCAGCCTTGTTTGAGGAGATATTGAAAAAATAAGAACACTTTCTCATGGCCACTTTTTGCCCTCTATCGAATGGCATAATCAATTTTTATATGTAACGTTTCGTCTCTCCAGGACCATCACCAACATAATTTTTTTAAGTACAACCCTGGAAATGTTATTACATTTTTTGCAAGCCTTCATGACCCCAATACTGTACTGCCTCAGCCCTAACCAGATTCAGACGTTTTGTCTCGAAAAATTCATCTTCAGTGTATTCGTTCCAAATTTATCTAAATTTTTTATTTAGATTTCTTTGTTTATTGAATTATCGTACACTGTAAGTGTCGTTATACCATCTAGTTATTCAAACTTTTACCACCACGTATTAAAATAAAACATTATTATTAGAGTTTTATTCCCGTGTCCATAGTTATTTCTAGGCTTCTCGAGTGCTCAAAATTCAAACAAATTCCGATCTATTTTTTTCAGGATATCCATACAAATACATCTGACATGCTCTTTCATAGTTGCAGTTACAGATATAACAAATTCCGATAATATTATGCTGATCTTCATTTTTAAACTATACCAAAACGAAAATGTTTTTGAACATTTACTGAAATTTTTTAAATAATACTATTCAGTTGGCGTTTTGGTTGTTCAGATGAATGTTTAAGAATTAATTTGTCATAATAAAATTAAAATTGTAACATTGTTTTAATTTGTCGTAACAACTTATTGAGTTATGTATGACCAAGTGATGGTAATAGTTAATAATAATAAATGTTCTATTGTAGCGCGTGGTGGCAATAGTTTAAATAACTAGATGGATTTCACAGGGTCTAACGACACTTACAGTGTACGATAATTCAATAAACAAAGATATCTAAATAAAAATTTTAGATAAATTTGGAACGAATACACTGAAGATGGATGTTTCGAGACAAAACGTCTGAATCTGGTTAGAAATGAGGCAGTACAGTACTGGGGGTCATGAAGGCTTGCAAAAAATGTAATAAAATTTCCAGGGTCGTATTCAAAAAAATGAAGTTGATGATGGTCTTGGAGTGACGAAACCGTTACAAATAAAAAATTGATTATGCCATTCGATAGAGGGCAAAAAGTGGCCTTGAAAAAGTGTTCTTCGTTTTTCAATATCTCCTCAAACAAGGCTGAAATTAAACAAAAACGTATTTCCAAAATTTCGGTTTTTTCAAATATTTCGAAAACTAATCATGTTAGCCTTGATTTTTTAGAGGCATATTGTTGGTCCCCTGATTACGCAACTTTGTCCCCATTTAAGCTACTTCGTAGCTCTTACCGTTTCCGAGATCCCTGTATGAGAAGCGAATTTGTAACAGCCTGTAGACAATTAATTAACTAAGATTAAATGAGTGAAAATTATAATCACCTGTCTGTGGAAATCATTTAATAATGTCGACCAAAGTGGTCAGTGTGTCTTTTTTTCTGTCTATATACTAATCGTTTTTATATAAATATTTAGTATATTCAACTTGTAAAATTATTCGAAGTATTGTTGGTTGCTTTATCTCGATTACTAAATAGAATATATAGAATATTGCTACAATTCCCTTTGCAACTAATAATATAAGTGATAAATTATTATAAATTACATTAGTTTTGTATATTTAAAAATTAATTACACATGAAAATTTATCGCGTCAGTTTTTAATATACAGGGTATCCCAAAATGTTAACTACGTATTTAACTCATCAAAAGCAACAATTGTATAACTAGTAATTTTTGTCTTTTACTTACACTTTTGTCCGGTAGGTTTGTAACCATTAAATTAACGTTAACAAGCTGCTTATGAATTAAAGAACGAGGAGAATATTTTATAGAATGAACAGCTAAGTATCTTAAAATTTTTAATTAGACTAAATATTAGCACTACCTAATTTTCGATTATAGTTGAATTCTGATGAATTAAATACTTGGTTAAAATATTAGTATTTATTTCTGGACCTTGTATATAAAATATATGGATTAAAAAGTGAAAGCAAATAGATAGCTCTTTCCCAGAATCATATTTATGAAACGATTAAGTTTTGATAGATATCCCAAATAATAAGAAACTTTTGGGTTTATTAGGAAAATTGTTTATTTATATATATTGAAAGTTACAAACCTATTTATACAGAATCGTTATAAGAGTAAGATGAAAGATGTACATATGTAAATTTAATAAATATAAACAAACAATTTTCCTGCTAAAGCATAAATTAGATTTGTTTGGTACCTATTTACTAAGGTTGGTATTAATCCGTGCAAATTAGAACCACATTTAGATTTTATCAAGTGTAAATGCAAAAGAGAATTTAACAAAAGTATAATTTAAAATAAAGCAAATAAGAAATTACTCAACAGAATAATATACAAAGAACAATAATTTACACATACATATAATGTTGTTCGCAAACAAGTATAGCATATACTAGGTTTGATCACAAACTAACAGGAATTTTCAAGTTGCGCATGTTGTATCTTGTCTATCGAACTGATTATTTTTTTATGTATTGCCATACTTAGTTTGTGTTTAGTGAGCGAATAAGTCAGATCAGAGAGTTTGTTTGATATTTTGTGTTAAAAACAGAATTAAATGCAGCGAAGTGTTCAAAATTTTAAAGAAGCTCTTAGACGACGACACCGTCTCACAAGCCACGAGTTTATCAATGATACAAATGTTTTCAGGAAGGCCAAGAAGACATCGAAAATGAGGCGAGATCTGTTCAAATGTGAAGGCCCTTCTAACCGTTTTCTTCGACTACAATAGAATATTTCATCACATATTCAATCAAGAGAAAATAACAAGAACACAACTCGTGGATTGTGCACCACGACAACACGCCGGCGCATGCCGCTTTGCTTATCCAAGAGTTTTTAGTGAAACACAACAACGTTGTGATGCCGCAACCATCCTATTCTCCGGACATGCCCCCTGTGACTTTTTCCTATTTCCCAAACTCAAAAGGATACTCAAAGGACAACGTTTTTCAACAATAGATGAGATAAAGGCAAAATCGCAAACCGTGCTCAAGACGATGCCTAAAGAGGCGTTCCACCACTGTTTCTCAAATTGACTTAAGTGTGTAATATCACGGGTGGGGGGGCTACTTTGAAGGAGATGGGATAAAAATTGAAGATTAAATACATACTTTCTGAGAAAATTAACAATTCCCGTTACCTTTTTATCGAACCTCGTATGTATCTTTCATTTTCTTTTAAATCAGGAATATCAAAGGACTCCTAATTTTTCGCATAAGTTCTATTTGCGACATTTCAATACAAATCACACGAAACACTATTGTTACATCTAATTTACATTAGTTTATAGTTATCTAATTAGTTACACACTATCGAAATTTTAAAAAAAATTCCATCTCACTATGAAAACACGGTGCCTAATTTACAGTCTATTCCTACTGGAAAAATATACGATTTAATCGTATAAAATAGAATCCGATCCTAACATTCATATTTTAGTACCTAGTAGTATGTTATTGTACCTATATTAATAATACCTATTTACATAACTAAAACGGATAAAACTGAAAAAACTTTGGATTAATGATTTACCTAATTATGGTCAAAAATTAACTGAATCAGTTTATGAATAGGTCAACCATTAACGAGACATTAGAGAGGATAGTATAGGGAGGTTATCATTGATAACTGTAGAATTTCAACACCACTGCGTATTTTCGAAATTGGATTGGCATTTAATTCCAGTTGGTATTTTCTACCTAAAAGAAATTCCCCATTTTATACGAAAAATGAGTCATTTTCAAGTTATGATTTTTTTAATTTAAATTAATCTAGGAGCACTATCATTAATAACCCTAGAATTTCGACGTCACTGAGTATTTTGGAATTTGGATAAGTGGATTTAATTCCATTTGATATTTCGATTAAAAAATTGTTATTCCAAAAATGAGTCATTTTTTAATTATGATTTTTAACATTCAAAATAAGCCATAATACATATATAGTTAACATAAATTGAAAATAAAAAATTTAAATACAATATAATTTTCATAGGTCTGATAATACCATTGGTTTAGGAACTTTTAATTTTCTGAAAGACCCTTAACATTTTTTAACTTCTGATTATATTTAAAATTGTATTTCTACCTAAACATTATATCTTCTTATATAGATTGGGAGTTATTTTAGATTTATACTACTGTGTCAAAAAACTAAGGTGAATTACCAATGTAAAAATCGGGGGGTATTATGAAAGCATACAATTATATTTTGTAGGTTAATAGTACTGTCCTTGATATCTATGCAGAGTTTTAAATCAATATCGTCATTGGAATATTGCTGTACAATTTGGTGTCCCTACTATGAAGTACATATTAATCGTCTAAAGAGAATACAGCGAAAAATTTGCAATAATATGTTGTTTAAACTTAATATAAATAAAAAATGACTATGACTATATTGAAAGGCTTAACCTACTCGGATTTAAATCTTCACAACATAGAACTTGCAATTATATTAAATTAACTCACAAATTATTTAATGTGAAAATAGATTCTAGTGGACTATTATCTCTATTTTCTTTAAGTGTCCCAAATTATGGAACAGGACTAACTACTGCTTTACATGTCAATTACCATCGAATTAATTATGGTTTTTATAATCCCATAAATAACATTGTTCTTATGCCTTTGATATTTTTACAGCTTCTTGGGTTCAGTTATTGCACTTAATTTGTAATATACTTAGCTAATTTTATTTTGTTATGTATGTGTATTTGTAATGTTACTTATATATTCTTAGTTTGTTTTGTATCATTGCTCTTTGACAATTTTTCTTTATATTTGTTGTATTTTTGAGTCACCACTAGTAATTGTATGTAAATCACTTCGATTGTATCAATTGGGTTCGTCTGTAGATACAATATTTTTTAATAAATAAATAAATAAATAAATAAATAAATAAATAAATAAATAACATATATTCAATTGCTGCAGAGCTACTCGTGTTTTTGTGAACATACGAAAGTGAGTTTATCGATTTTCACTATGTCTGATTTTGTTAAGGAAAGAATTTGCATTAAATTTTGTTTGCGGAATGAATATTCTGCCGCGGAAACATTGAGGATGTTATAGAAGGCCTTTAATGATGTCGTTAAAAATATTTACAAGTGGCACAAAGACTTTAAACAGGCAGAGAAAGCGTTAAGGACGAACAACATCCTGGACGACCATCAACGTCAACTAATGAACGACACGTTAATCAAATCAAAGATCTTGTGCTCAAAACCGTCGATTAACAATAATAGACCTTGATGATACTATTGGGCCTTTCAAAAGGTTCAGTAAATAACATTTTAGAAGATTGGCCTTAGACGCGCCAAATATCGTTTGGTTCCAAATACGCTCAACTTTTTGGAAAGACAGCGTAGCGTTAACATCTGTGAAACAATGATTTATGGCTACCAAGACGTCATGAAATGCATCAATACTGAAGATGAGACTTGGATATACGCTTACGACCCGAAAACAACCGATCAATCGAGTGATTATCGTGCACGTCAAAGTCACTCAAAAATCAAGCTCATGTTAATAACTAGTTTTATTTGATTATCGTAGCTATGAATTTCTTCCAATCGGCCAAACTGTTAGGTAACAAGGAATATTATTTGAGTCCTGATTGATGACCATTTCGCACAAAAATTCAACTTGTATCGTTCCGCAACCACCGATTCGCCTGATTTAGCACCGAGTGACTTCTGTCTATCCCTAAACTCAAAAGTCTCCGTGGACACCGTTTCGACTCGATGGAGGAAATAAAAGCCGAATCGACGAAAACATTGAAGGCCATACCGGAAAAGCACTTGTTGGAAAAAAGGTTGGCATAAGTGCATTGTATCAGGTGGGGATTACTTTGAAGGCGACGGAATTGATGTGCAAGCATAAATAAAGATATTTTATTTTTTAAACAAATTTACCTTATTTTTTAGACAACGGGTTATAACTATGTCGATTAATTGTGTTAAATTAAAAAAAAAAATGGTGAACGATTTCATATGAAAAATTTGCACAATAAAGTCAAGAAACAACTTAAAGCTTGAATGTAGGTAAGGCACATTTGAAGAATTTTTGAATTAGAATTTTTTCCAAATGTTGTGACAAACTTACTATATTGTAATAATTTTGGGCAAATTATTTTAACAATTGAGAATTGAAAATAGAAACTAGTAGGAGTTAACAGCTCAAGAAATCTTTCCATTTTCAACTTATTGTTTAACAAACTGGTTTGAAGAAATCTTAATTAATTCCTACTACTTACAACTTCCTGAATATATATAAAGCCAAAAATTAGACGGCTGTCTAAGTTAAAAACCAAATTTCTTCATGCAGCCAACGATAAAAAAAGTTACACTCTTTTAAATTTTCAAGCTTTCGAAACTATATTTTGTTTCTTCATCAGGAAAAAACTACAATAAAATACAAGTTGAAGTTTTCTTAAAATTAGTCAATTAAAAAATTACTTACTATGCGAGAATTACATAGAAGTTAGCCAACATGATACACATACCGCGGACATAGGTCGTTAATACAAATAATTAAAAACATCACAGGTTAAAAACAGAAAATTGTACAAATCAAAAATTTTTAAAATTCATTACTAATGCAGACTAGAGCCGAAATCAAACAAAATGAACAAGTCGCCTGTCTTTTAGGTACGAATATCAGATAAGGAGGAAAAAAGTGAAAAAATATTAAAGTTTTTGTTCCCTTAATACTTATGCGGAGAACGGGGAAACTCTACCAAAAATTTTTAAACAATTAATTAGTTAGATTATGGAACAAAAATAACAAACAAAAGTTACATACCGCTATACAAGGTGTCACCTAAAAGATTGTCCCTGTTATTAAAATATTGATTTAATAAAAAAGTATAAATTACGCTGAGACCATCGATATCAGTCATTGCATTCATTGGATTAACTTCCCTTGCAATATGACACATCTCTAAAAATTTTCTTTTTTTGTGGTTGTTTTCTGAATCTAATACTAAAATTTCGTCATAATTCATACTGTGACCTGANATATCAAAATCAAAAAGTTATTAAAATAATTACTGAATGCTCAATTTTCTGGGTCACTTAGTAATTATATAAAAACATGGTCTTTTACGTAGACACATGTATAACTTTGAATACATTTCAGTAAGATGCAATGTATTCAAATTTAAACATAATTATTTTGACATAGTTTACCTGTATTGGTAGGAACCATCAGGGTTCACCTGCTGCTCTTGTCTTAATATTGGAATGGGTTCTGTGACTGGTCCTTGAGGAGCAGCATACACAATCCCAACAAAACAGACGAAGACAATCTAAATCAAAACATAATTATTACCAATTCGATCGTTCCAGAAGGATTTTGTTGTCAAAATCAAGTTATCAGGTGGAGTAGATATTATTAAAATTTGTATTCTTTGAAATTTTCTGACACAAAATAGTGGAACTGACGTTTTTTTTAGTAAGCCCATTTAATTGAATAATTAATCAGATATATCATTAAATTTAAGAAATATAAATTTAGTTTTATATTTTCACTTTTGGCCTTTAAATTAATCAATTCATTATGTCATTAGCATATAGGGGGAATTATATGCATGAGGTACACAGGCCGTTAACCTTAATCCATTATATCTTGAAGAACAAAATTCTTAATTTACTTAATCATCCTGAAATGGCCTAAACATACACGACATATAAACAAATTGTTTGATAGTACCCTCTTGTTCAAAACAACGTCATCACTTAAAATTAAAATGTTCTTGCCTTGCAGCAATTAACTTTATTAACACGTAGCCAGAATGTTGTTTTAAATATTAATTTTAACCTAACCTTTCATAATTTTAAATTGTCCGCTTGCTGAAAATTTGAAATTAATATTTAAATTTCAATGTTTTTAACATTGATTGGAATCATAAAATATACACAGAATTAATCGTCAAATAATAATAGTTGATCATCAAATGTCAGATGAAGAGACGCAATGTATACAATGTGGTTAAGGTTAAGGTGTACACCATTAGTATATCCTGAACTAAAAGATATACAGGGTTGTCTTTTCTTATTTCTTCCATATCTTTTTTATTCTTGAAAGTAGAGTAATGAAAATCGGTATGTATATAAAAGACGATATGTTCCATCTATTGCATTTATATTTATTTATTTATAAATATTAGTGTTATTACACAAAGTGTTTATACACGTCAAAACCAGAAAATTATTCCACTAAGTACATCATATTAATATAAAATAATTATTGAAAAAACATGTAAGAGTGCATGAGACAGAACATAATAGTATACAGACCGTACAATAATACAAGTACTTAAATGGTTTAAAATGAGATCAAAATTACATAAATTAGAATACAAAAGTAATATAAAAGTAACACAATTAAAAAAGAACAATAAATTAAATATGCCTAAAATCACTTGTTCAAAACTGTTCAATGTTATAAAACGCATTTTGTAAAAGATAATTTTTCATTTTGCTTTTAAATTGTATATAATTCAGATTTCTCACATGCAATGGGCTTACATTAAAAAGATGTACATACACCAATGTAACCCTTTCCACTTCTAGTTTTACTCAATCTCAAAAAATTTACTGAAATGTTATCCTTAGATCTAACATTATGAGTGTAAACTTCACTCCTAGTCTGGAAAATATTTAAGTTATGTTTAATGTATAGCAAACATTGCAGTATGTACATTGATGGAACCATTAGAATATTTAATTCAATAAAATTGATTTTTGGCAGTCATCTCTATAAGGCTTGAGATAATCCTAATTGCTTTTCTCTGCTGCGCGAACACATCCATGGCAGAAGCAAAGTTTACAGAATATTTATTCTGTAAACTTTGGCAGAAGTAACATAACCCCACACAATAAGTGCATACAATATGTGAGAATGAATACAACTATAATATGCTGTCGCTAGAATGTTGACTGAGACCTTACTTGAAGACTACGAAGTAAGTACACTGCCGGCCCTTTGAAAGTGAACGATTTATTTTTCTAATGTGATGTGGTCTACTTTTCTTATTATGAGGTTATGAAGTTTTTATATGTCACTGTCATTAGTAATTTGCTTGGTAATTTAAGATGCCGCGTTTAAAGGAACCAGAGAAAGTGAGAGCTATAACTTTACTTCAGAATGGTTGGTCATTGCGGATGATCTGCATGTATGCAAGAACAGCATATTTAAACTTAAATAAAAATGCAATGCTCACTAGAACTAGTATGATAGACATACATTAAATGTGATATAATGACAGCCGATTTGAACCTCACATTTTCAAGTCAGCTTCACAAAGGCCAATTATAGACAATTTGCTTATAAGAGTCGTTCACTTTCAAAGGGCCGGCACTGTACATGTTCTTCAACATTTTTTTGCAAATATAATTAGTATGATGTTTCCAAATTAATTTAGAATCCATATAAACTCCCAAGAATGTAACAGCCTCAGAGTTAGCCTCACACTCAATCTCTCGCAATGAAAATATCATAGTCTCGAACTTAGATATAGTTAAGCAAGCTTATTAGCGGTAAACCATTCATTAACATCTGAAGGATTGTATCAATTAAACCTAAAAGTATTTTACTTCTTACTGACAGACATGTGTCAGCAGCAAACAAAAATCCCAAAACATTATTATCCAACGAGTTAAATAGGTCATTAATATAGGTTAAAAATATTTTGGGCCCCAGTATTGATCCCTAACAGTTTTCAAGTCGGATTTTACATTATTGTAACTCACTAATTGCTGCCTATCTGTCAAGTAGGAACTCAACATTTGTATACTGTTCTCGGTAAACCCATAAAATTGTAGTTTTTTAACAAGGATATTATGAGACACACAACCAAATGCTTTTGTCAAGTCTAAGAACTGTGTAGCTATATATTCACCATTTTCAAATCCTTCATTAATATATGAAACAAGTTTGTTTATGTGGTAGAGTAGCCATTGTGAAAACCATACTGATTTGAATTCACAATACCATGGGTATCAAAATAATTGGTAATTTGTATTTTCAATATATGTACTCATAAATTTTTACAAAATATGGAATTATGGATATGCGTTTAAAATTGAAAGGATCAAATACTCGACTTGATACTTAATTAAGTTGGTAATTGGGATTAGTACTGAATTTATTTTACTTTTCACTATTTGCGTATTTAGGTTATAAACATCTTCACATTTTTAATTTTTAAAAGTCATAATGATATTGGCTACTTCCCAGGGTGTTACCACCATAAATTGAAATTTATTTTATCTATCACTACTATGTAGGTATTACGTAAATTGCAGATTACGTAAATTAATTAAGGTTTTATCGGCTATATCGACAAATAAGTTTTTAAATTCTTCTGCTTTAACAATAGAAAAAGTGGGTCTAGGTTCAATTTTAAGATCATTTATAATGTTCCACATTGCTTTTTGAAGATTATTATTAAGTATATTATTAAATTACGTACTCAGCGATAAACATTTTTTAAAGTACCATATTCTTGTAATCGCCTGTATAAACATTGGAAAATATTCCTATCCATTTTTTCATAAAGTTATAAAGAATTTCTTATATTGCATGTAAACATATCAGTCTTTTCACTTATTATTATTAAAAACAAATACTAAAAACACTTGAGCATTTATTTATAGCAGCAAAAGATAGCTTGTTTACTTTTAAATAGAAATGTCAAAATTTTCGTTTATTTTTTCATGATAAACGATAAAATTGAATAAATTATAATATTGGCTTTTTTTTAGCATTTAATAAAATCTGTTCACCCAAGTATTACACATCGTTGAACTGAAAATTTAATGCTTTATCTAATGGCGTCCTCAAGGAAACCAAAAGTTGATTATGAACAGAAAGAACTAGGATGATGTTTCAACTTTTCAATATCGTCTTTTCAATAATAAAAAAGAAAAACCAAGAGACTAATGGTGTATACCCTATAAGTAACCACCCTGTCTAGCAAATAATTATATATTTATCTACTTTAAAGTGTATTTCAATATACCTAAATGTTTAATAATGAAAAATTCTAAAGTATAATTTAAATAACACAAGATGTAGAATGACGCTTTATTAAAGGCATTTTTATTATAAGTATAAATATAAAAAATATTGGTTTCTTATTTAAGTCTCTTATAGTGTGGTGAATTAGACAGTTAAATAAACATAACACAATTTATTTAGAAACCATTTATGTATTGTAAAATAATATTTTCTGTATAATTCTTAATACTTATTCTTCTTTCTGTTTTTTTTTGTTTATAATTTTTTTTATAATTTTTTTTATATCAAATTCAAGAAGCTTCTGTTACAGCATACATATGATATTGCCATAAAATTCCCTCACTGCCTTTAAAACAAATACTACTGTTGATAAAAATTTCTCAACTATTTTGTTCTCGATTGTTTATAAATTACAAACATAAAGGCAATCCTAAAGCTGTAGGATATAATATCACAGAATTTCAATAATTACTTAAAAAATAAATACTATTCTACACGAGCGAATGTAGCCAAGACGAGGGGAGTGGAAAAATTAAGAGAGTTTTCTAAACTCTAAGACAGTTAATAATGTAGGTAAGATTTGTTTGCTTATTTATTGTAAGTTCCAAGCGTGTACATGAATGTAGTACTTGTACCTACTTGTCATTGAATATTTGGTAACGTTTATCGTATTTAAAATCATTGAGGTATTTCAGTTATTAATCAGCAAAACAAGTACACTTATTCTACTTTGACGTAAAATATGCATGTAGAGAACGAGTTAAAAATTGTTAAAAAGATAGCAATAGAAACGAAAAATTATATAATTGACAAATTGGTCTTGACATTTACATCATGATTTATTGTCATTCATATCAGTTTCTTTATAAATATGTTAGTCACGAAATGTAGGTACGTATTTTTTATCAAACTTTGTTCAAACAGCTTTAATAAATTGTGAATATTTTGCATATTTGGTTAAGAAAACGTTTTTCAAAATCCCTATAATAAATTTTGCACCGATAATTATCACATCCATCTTTTTTATTTTTAACCTTGGGAAAGAAAGCTTGTTATAAAAGTTTACTGGGTTAGAATTTAAAAATGTATTTTTGGAAAAAAACAATTAAACGTGTCAATTTTTTATATAACATCTTGCATTTTTTATATTTTTGAAATCTGTAAGTTTCTCTGACTTCAAAAATTTAAAAAAGTGTCAGATATTGCTTAAGTAGTTTTTGCTGATAAAATTTTTAATTGATATTTATACTATGGACATTCCAATCTACAACTACACTACTATTTAAATAAAATTTTGTTCAGGAAACTGAAAACTTTATAATAGTTCTAGTTTCTGTAGTTGTATTTTTTCAAAATATGGAACTAATTAAGTATTTTTTAGAACAGAGTCACTTAAAGCCCTCAAATACGGGGCCGCCTAAGAAAAAACTTATGAAGGTTTTACAGTCTTAACCAGAACATAATGTATATAGAACAATTTTCTTTAAACATATCAATTTAACTGTTTCCGTTTATTACAACTGATTTTAAAGTTAATAATTATAATATAATGAAAGTGCAGTTGTAAATTAGAATATTCATAGTAGGATATGTGTTAAAAAACCTTATTTTGAAAGAAAAACTACTGGGAAAAATATATTATGAACATTTTTCAGAAAAACAGAAAAACAAATCTCGAAGATAATAGAATTCCATTGTTGATTAAAAAATAAATAACTTACATTTAGTAGTCGCATATAAAAGGTTCAATTTTTTTTAACTTTTTAAAAAATTATTAATATGAAAGAAGTACACAAGACACGCAATTGAAACAATGTTAATTTAATAATTTTTTTAAATATAATTGAGTATGTAGTTCTTTTCTAAAATAAAATAAAAAGTACAGAAATAATAACTAATAATAATTTTTAACACCCCATTACCTTATCTTAAATAAGATCTAAATATGTATAATATCAAATGTTAATCGAAATTTGAAAAGCTGTGAAATTCTTCAACCATAAATTTATTACGTGAATTTTTATAAACAATACCTCATAAACTCATTGTCAGTTGTGGTGATGAGGTAATCATATACTTACAGCAACTTTCATTGTTATAATATTTAAGTTATCCTCACACAAGTAAAAACCAAGAACTGTATGATTGTTTCGATTGTTATCCTAATATTTATACCTTTTAGACTATTTACAAATATTCCCCACTCCCAAACCTGAGGACTAAAGGAACTTCTGTATTATGAATCTTCTTCGTCAATAACAAATTTTCCTCCCTCTCTCATCTTTAAGGTCATAAGTCATATTTACCCAATTTCTTTTCTTATAATTGTTATCCATCTTGCACGGCCTTCAGAATCTTTTGTGACTACCACATCGATACGATTTAAAATATGCAGCTTCACGTAAAATATTTTTACGATGTAAGAAGCAGTACAGGTTCTTTCTTAGATACTCTCAATGATTTGGAAACATTACTTTAAATGTTTCAAAACTTTAAGTCAAGTGTATATATCTAAAGAAAATTGTATGTTTTTAAAAAGATGATTCCATAACAAAAACGGTGTCAACAGAAAAAAAGAGAAATGGAAACTTTTATTATATTTTCATATTTTATTAATACATTTTGGAAGTCATACATTTTTTTGCATAATAACGTTTAATTAATATACATATACTTATATCATTGTCCATATCTAGATTTTTTATGTTCGGCAATCACTTTCCTATTGAGTCATTCTCCCTTAAATTATCAAAACATTTCAGTTCACATGATGTAAAATATAACCTTCGAAGAGAAAGAGAAATTTTTAATTTGTCTTTCTTGTGTATAGCTGTTCTCTAGTACTAATAATATTTAAAAAAAAAAACATTATGGAGATTTATCCATCCCCACTTAAAAAATAAAATGAATAATAGCCGTTACATTATGGTATTATGTAAACTGATTTGTTGCTTAAGGTTAATCCTCATACAATGGTTCAAATAGTCGTCACATTTATCACTACTTAAGAGACGAGTGTAAGATAATAATATAATATTCAATAATAATAGAGAGTCATTGATTGCCACTGCCAATGAACTGTTAAGTGATGTTAGGCAATATTTTGAATATAAAGCGATTAATAATGTTTTAATATCTTTAGAGACTTCTTACATAATTAAATTAACAAAAACCATTATGAATTAAATGCAACTTGAAACAATTAATATTGTAACACAGATTGCTTTCATTACTTTTTCTCACAATATTGTTCAAAAATTTATTAAGTGTAATATGTTTAAATCAAGCGTGATTTCTATTGCAGAGAAAAATATGTAAGTATTCCTCGATATTCTGAAAATGTATATATACTTTTAGACACCTATACTTAACATATAGAGGGTGTTCAAAGGACCCCGCACACAGCTTATGGAAATTGGTCTTTCAGTGAAATTTCTTCATGGCCACGAAGCTCTAAATGCCCATCTGAAGGCGGTAGGACTTACAAAAGGGTCAAATAATGACAAATTGATTTACTCTCAAATATAATTTTTTTGACATATAATGTAACAAACATAATTTGTTTGATATATATAATGTAGCTTGTTTAATAATGATTGGCATATATTTAATAGAAATCTGTGGAATACTCTCACAAATAAAGAATAATGACAATTACCCCTGACATTAGAGTAACCCGATGTGCACCACGAGGAGGTTGTCAAGTCGGATTTTGTACATCATTTTGCCTTGAACAGAACAGTATGTTTGTGTGTATGTGCCCGGGTACGTGTGCGTGTGTAATTTCAATAAACACAAAATACCAAACAATTTGTTTTTAAGACACATGAATTAAAAAAAATTTTATCTTAACATTAACGATTTTTATTTATATGGTTCTTCTTCTTCTTACATTTATATTTGTACATATTTTCTATTTATATTTTATATTTAATTTGTATATTATTGTTTCAGCATGAATATTATTTTATTTGTAAATTTGTAGGTTTATCTGATTTAATTGACGAATTTTACTACAGTATTATGGGATTAAAAATGTTATTTTGATTAAAAATATATTAACGATTTTTACAACAAGCTTTCAATCTTTTAGCAAAATATTCGCTTAATTATGTTTTCTTTTATATATTATGTTGAATGATTTGAGAATTGTCAACATAAACTCTCAACTCAACTCTGTCAGCTCATCAAAAAAAAAAAAAACATGGTGAATTTGGTGGCCAATTAATATATCTTCTTACCAAAATTTCTGTTTCCAAAGACCAATTGTTTCCATTGCTATATGACATGTGCACCGTCCTGTTGAAACCACATTAATACACTCGATATCGAGCAGCACCATTCACAGTAACAACGTTACCCAGCTTCATTTTCGAAGAAGGATGAACCAATCATTCCATCATACCAAAAACCACACCAAACAGTTACTTTTTGTGGATGCATTGGTTGTTCCAATATTAAACGTGGGTTATCTTCACCGCAGATACAACAATTTTGATTGCTTACATATCCACCAATTTGAAAAGGAGCTTCAATACTAAAGACGATTTTGTTACAAAAAAATCATTATTTTGTTCTTTCACTGCAAGAGCCCAATTAATTATTGTACTGCATAATCCATGATCAGTTGGCAATAATTCTTGTGTTAACTGTATTTTGTAAGCCTTTAAGTGAAAATCTTTATACAAAATATTGAATAAAGTGGTTTGCTTAATATATAATTGCTATGTATGATGACGAATTGATGTGTTTGGTTCTGCAGTAACACTATCATTGACAGCTGCAGTATTTTCTTGTGAACGACCACTACGACTGTAAATTTTACCTCTTTTTTCTTGAATTGAACCAGTTTCTTCAAATTTATGCACAATATTTCGAATGGTGCTATTTCTGAGACAATTAGTGTTTCCATATTTTACACGATATTTCTTCCAACTTCTGCATAACTGTCACCAAATTTAAAATAATTTTTAACAATAAAGACGCTTCTTCAATCGTATACTCTGCATATTTATTAACCGACATGTCACTTAACAACTGACTAAAACCATTCTAGGACAGAAACTCAAATTTGAACATCCTTTGCTATTTAATATAATCAGACATAACAAATAACATTTTTATTTACATATCTACCTATGTAATAATGTAATTCGATGTATACAAATATACATAATATGTATAGATTATATATATTTATTTTGTATGTTATACAAAAATGCACAAATAAAATATATTCTTTACAATTTGTTATAATTACCAAATATAGTAAAAATCCCAAGTAGGTAAGTAAGATAAAATTAGGAAAGATTTCAAATTTTAAAATGACACAGGACTTTAAACAAATAAATTCAAACAATTTTTTTAACATCGTATCAAATGAAGTGAGACACTGTTCCTCGGTATCTCAAATCTGAGTATACAAAAATATCTAACTTCAAAAACAAGATTCTTGATGATATTGAGGGAAACAACAGTTCTATGAACTACATACCCAAACAGCTAGTAATAAATAATTACCTAAAATAAATATTGATATGTCCAAATACTCGTATTATTAATTCAAGAACACGTACCTGATATATTATTGTAATATTTCAAAGAAATATCTTGTATTCTTGTTGTACCATCATCCTTTACAAAGACGAACACAAAAATAGCCACGATAGATAAATTTTATTATTTCTACATTATACTTAGGATTGTTTTTTCAAGTGTCCTCCATATAAATGGTATTAATAATTATTAATGGAACTAATTTATTTATAAAACACAAAACTATTAGGAGAAATACAATTTTGAGACAACAAAGTCACAACTGTTGACAATATGACTAGATTAATGTGAATTGTTCGCTGAAAGTTTTCCGGCATCTTATGTACTCAAAGATAGATTTATTTTTACTTACTTTTTGTTTCAAAAGAGACAAATTCATTATACTAGAACTCCCTACCAAGTGACATTTTATACTGATCTTTTTAAGTACAAAATTGTCATCTTTTGGTAACATAAATCCTAAAAATCTATCATTATTTATATAGGATTAAAAATTTCTGACTGAGAATATATTGACATTCCAACAGAACATTGCAAACGTTATGCATTGTATATTTATATGTTTTATCAAAAACAGTTAATCTAAGCGAAAAAATTCAAAAGATGACTGGTGTAATTTTAATTGCTTAAGAATAAATAAAAATCCTTTTCTTGCATGTCCATGGACAACAAAAAAAACATTTTTTAATAATTAATGGAACACAATTTTTTTTTTCTAAGGTACACCCCAATTTTTGTAGTTTGGTAGTTTTACTTTCTTTTATTATGTTGTCCCAGTAGACTAGACGGTATCTGTTTTGGTTTGGGTGAATCGTATATCCACGGAGATTTTTGGCTTTTTGGTTTTCAAATACCTATCACTAGAAATGAAAATTTTTCTATGCGCATAAAAAAAACGTGGGCTTAACTCTTGGCGGCACAATATGTTAAAAAAATTCGGAAAATGTCATATTTTTCTTCCTATTTAATCATGTATATTTTCAAGAGTTGATTTTAGGCGAAAATGGAAGAGGAAAAAAATGTTTGTAATTAAATTTTTTACAAAATATGACTAGTTACAAATCGAATGAATCATTATTATTATGGTAAAAATCGAAAAAATCGCAAAAATGGGGTTAAAAACAATACTTTTTAGGGATTTTTTTTGGAGTATTTAAATTGGGTATAGGACCTTTATACTTGACTCAAGAAAACTTCATGTTACGTAGAATTATCACACCAAATTTCATCAAACTCGGTTCGATAGATTTTGCATAATAATTTTGCAATCCAGATTTTGAAAAAAAAATATGCACATTTTCAAAATTTTACACAGCAAAAACCAAGGCCCTTAGATACTTGAAAATCACATAGAGGAGGGCTCTCAAGCTTTCAAACTTTTTTTGAAAAATTTGAATCCGTCAATTAGGAGAGTTCTGGCGCTTGTTTAAACATTGGTCGAATTTTTGTACTTATAAACAATTAGAATAACTTTGTGAATATTCAATCAAATCAAATTTTTTAAAGCAGGTTTTAAAAGTTCTTGTAAAGACGCTTCTTTAAAAAAAAACAGATCGATTGATCAATTAGTTA